TTAGATGTCACTAAGAATGCTAGTAAATTTTCCGATTTTTTGCAGAGAGACAAAGCTGTGATTTTGCAAAGCGAAAACACCTATTTTTGGTGTAAAATGGGGGGGGGGTCAACGAATTTTGTCGCCAAGCTCGTACAGTAGTATGGAGGGGACGGGATTCTCCGGATGTCAAAACACCATTTAGGGTTCTGTCACCTCCCATGCCGCATTCTGGCCAATGGGGTGGGGGGCGTTTGCTGAGGACTTGGGATTTGAGCAGGGCTACAGGGGTAGTGCAGCTCTGCGCTGCTCCATCGGCGTGCCCGCACCATACTCGAGTACCACACAAGTAGCCGGATCAGGAATGTACTCGAGTACGGTACAGTACTCGTGCTTGCAGGGTACTCGAGTACTGGTACAGCAGGGCAGATGCGGTCCTCCCACCCATTGGGGACAGGAAGGCTAGCAGAATAAGAGGCTCTACTGTAATAACAGTGACACCCCCGAAGATGGTTCGCCGGGCATGGATAATATCGGGGAATTAGGGTGTTTTCTCCATAGAAGTACGCGTATACCCTAGGAAATAATGGGAAACAGGCCCTGTGAAGTTGACAATGAGATGGATGAAGGGGAAAGGAAAAGACTGCCGTAGGTCGAAGCAGAGAGGGAGGCCCAATGGCGTAAGGCTCGACCAGATGGTATGAATACCAATAGGATACGGGGTAAAGCATGGTACAGGCATTAGCGTAGGTGCTGATACTATATGATATAGCACCATAAAACTCGGGCAATAGGGGATGAATGCCCCGGGACATGCGGTATCATACAGGTGGTACAGCACCCGTACCGGTACCATAGTTGCTTGTCCCGGTAAGGCGGTGGTGCGCATGCTCCCTTCTCCTCAACTGAAGCGTGAGTCTGCGGTGTACCCCCCTTGGAGAGGGGGAAATGGGGGATGGATTCCGGGGTCCCGCGCCTTTTTCTTCGACTCGGGCTCTCATGCTACAGTACCCGATAGGGTAGAGACTGGATAGAGACTGGAGAGTGCCATGCCATGTTGTGGTTATGGCCAGCACCTACCAGTACTGTACTCGGCTTTTTGGCGTTTGGGGGGCGGCGGCAGTATCGGGTGTTCTGCTCCCGGGATTGGGGGATGGCTTTAGAGGCGTTCGTGGAAGTGTACGAGTACTAGAGTGCTGCACCACCCGTCACTCAGTTAACTCACTGCTATCACTCCCGCTCCCCGCAGATCATGCAACGGAAGGGATTGAAACACAGGGCTCCCTCTTGCCTGTTTATGAGGAGATTTTTGTGCTGGGATACGGCAGACTGCTACGGTGGAATTTAACGTGGGTAGGAGAGGGGTGAGGGGCTGCGCCGTACTCTATCGGCTGCCGGATGCAACAGCAGCCAGGATGAAAGAACGGTCGGATCTCGTTGGTGGTGCAGGACACAGTCTACCGGTATCCGACCTGCAACCTGCTCCGAGCTCCCTGCTCCTTCTGACAAGGATCCAGGATCCCTTCCGTTTCGGAAACCAGGCATCCTGATCGTTTTCCTCCGAAATTTGTCTACCTATCATAACTTGGCTTTTGCTTTCCCTCTCTTTCGTTCCCGGCCGGACCCGGACGCCTTGGGAATCGGCTCCGCATAACATACGGTAAGTCAATCTGACCTTTACGAGTACCGGTGGCCCTCTTGCCCCGTATACGGGTATCATGCCACAGCACTGATCCCCATACCTTACTCGTACTCGATTGACAGGCGCAGCCGAGCCGGAAGGGATGGATGGGCGGATAACTCTTACATTTCCATCATAACAACCCCTGGCCAAGCTTGGGCTGCTGTCGTGTGCTCCTTCTGACCTTCTGCTGCCAGTCCGAGCACATATCATACCCCGGGTCCCTCTCCTGCTACGTCTCCCACTTCCCCCCCACCTTCTCCCCGATTAACTGTTATCACTACTATTTGACTCCCTTTCATCCCACCACCCTGCCTCAGCAGTGACACGAGCTTCACCTCCGGTGGTCTGGCTGTTTCCAACATCATTTGACCTCTTTGCCCTCTCCCAGCCTGTTCTTCGCGAAGGAGCCCTCACTGCCGACGCCCCCTCAACCGCATGTAGGCCCCTTCGCCCACCATGGCCCGTTCCAATATCTCCCGTCCGTCTTCAGCTTCGGCTGTGCTCGATCGCGTTTCAGCTGTATTCATCGCTATAACGATGCTGGGTGTGGTCATTCGCTATTGCTGGTACGGTAAGAATGCAATCCCACGAACCCCCATCACATGATATCGGTCGGCATCCCCTGAACTTGGTTTGCCTCGATTCGGGCTCTGATGTGTAGCTCGAACTTTGAGCCTATAGATGCAAAGGATCCGTTCAAGTGCGGAGCCCTCCTCAATGATGGGGAGTGGCTTGATTCGACTTTCAATGGCACGATCCCCAGCAACTGGCGGGTCCCGGGCTGCACGGTTCGAAAGTACGATCCGAGGGATATCCGGTCCTGCCTTGCGGAACGTCGGGCTCTGTTCATTGGGGATATGACCGTCCGGGAGATATTTTGGGCTACTGCTCGCTCCCTCGACCCGGAAGCCCGCCCACAGGCGGCTGGGGAGCATATCGATATCTCTGTTACCAAGGACGACGTCACATTGAAATTCATCTGGGACCCCTATCTCAATTCTAGCGCTTTAGCCGCCGAGCTCGCCAGATTCGGTGGCGGCGTGAGTTCTGGCTCTGCGGCATTGGTTCTGATGGGCTCGGGGTTGTGGTATGCGAGGCACGAGAATCTCAACGGGCTTAAGAAGTGGAAGGATAACATCGATGAGGTTGTACAGTATATGAGGGAGGGTCGGACTAGTACGGACTTGGCAGGGTCCGATATTTTGTTGCTCTCCCCGGTCCTTGTCCCGCAGTACGACTGGCTCACCGATGACCGGAGGGAAACCATCACTCCCGATAAAATCGACTCCATGAATGCATACTTAAAGCAGCTCTCCGCCTTCCAAGGAGTAGATGTTTTTTGGGCATTTGATGAAATGATTAGGAATCTCCCACAGGCTTACCAGAGCTCAGGCATCCACATTAAGGAAGAGGCTGCCGCCAAGCGGGCCGAAGCTCTTCTGAACTTGAGATGCAATGGAGAAATCACCCGCTTCCCTTATGATGGGACTTGCTGTAACAAGTATCATCCCCCAAATTACATCCAATGGCTGGCACTCGTGTTTGTTCTTGCTATTCTTCCCGCAATTATATATGTGAGGCATGGAGGTGTGAAATCAAGCCCCTGGGGAGTTGCATTTGGGTCGCTGACAATATCATAGATAACAAGGCCACACCTGCCTCCTTGATTAGCCAATTCAAGTGGCTTCCTTCAACTGAGATAATCCGTTTCTTGTTGATATTCGGGCTTGTTGTGATTTATTGCTTTTACGCAGACCGCACTCAGGTTTTTAGCAAATCTCAGAAGCAATTTTACAGTTCAGACATGCTCTGGCTCTCCGTTGGGACCCTTCTCTTCGGATTGGTGGCAATTAGGAGGACAGCACCTGCCGCTACCTCGGATCAGCCGTTTTTGAACCGGGAGCAGTGGTATGAGTGGAAAGGGTTGCTCCTAGCTGCCATGCTTGTATGCAACTATACTGGCGGAGTAGAGACTGTTAAGATTAATGCGGTTTATCGGCTGTCGGTCACAGCGTATCTCTTTCTGAACGGATATGGCTACTCCCTATATTTTCTCAGGAGTCAGGATTACACGTTCAAACGATGCATGGCTGTCTTGATTAGGCTCAATCTCTTGAGCGCCATTCTCCCGTATATGATGGGGACCAACTATGTTTTCTATTTTCTTGCACCATTGGCGACTTATTGGTTCCTGATTATTTATTTGACTTTGTGGATTGGCGCAAGGCATAACTCGAGTGTCAAATTCTTGCTCGGGAAGATTTTTGTTTGTGCTATATTTGCTAGGCTATTACCGGGTATACTGGAGATCGCGTTCCCTATTTTTGGGTCACAATGGGATAGCCCGGTATGGATGGGTTGCATTGTCTCTGACCCGTGGATGGTTTACGTTGGAATGGTGGGCTCTATCTTGTTCCTAAAAGCGAACGAAAACTCGTACACTTCTACTAGGTGGTTTCTCCTCGCTCGCCGATATGCGGTTGCTATTTCAGCCCTTGCTGTACCGCTATTTTGCTTGTTCCTGGCCTCGCTAGGGGAGGATGACGAATATAGTACCTATCACCCTTATGTTTCATTCATCCCGATACTGTCGTACCTAGCCCTCCGCAACGCCACCCCGCAGCTCCGGAACGCACATTCATATACTCTCTCATGGCTCGGGAAGTGTTCACTCGAAGCATTCCCTCTACAAAACCATATCTGGATGGCCGCGGACTCGAAAGGGCTCCTGGAACTTGGGGCCTTCGGGTCTTCCCAAAAGCTAACTGATTTCGCTCTGGCAACTCTATTGTTCCTATACCTCAGCTATTGCGCGGGGAGAGCGGCGGAGGTTTTGACCCCGTGGATCATGGGCATCCAGCCCATGGTGCGTAAATCAGGTCTCCCGGTGACGAGTGACGATCGGGAAGCCAAGGGAAGCGAGACACTGGACCAAAGCCAAGATTATGCCGACATACAAATGTTCCAGCTAGAAGCCACACGAATAGAGGAAGGTGGTGCAGGAATGAGTTCGAGCACAGGAGAATCTCAGGAAAGCAGGTCTGGAGGATTATGGGCGGATCATAGGGTACGGGTCGTGGTGATTGGTGCTGTCATGTGGTTCGCAAGTCTTGTAAGTTGAGCTGCGATTGGACATTACACGCGAGAAGCTGATTGAATATCGCACTAGACAACATAACGAGGTATGAATTAGGATAGAGGGGGTCATTTCATCTTTTCTATGTCTATTTTGTTTCTTTATGATATCATAATTTCCTTTAGTTGACGGATCGCACTACCGCAGACGGACCTATAATACTACATAGGACGCTTTTTCCCCTTGTGTATATAAAAATGGCCCCTTTTCCCGCACATACACACTCTTGTTCCTACTTCTTTGTTAGAACAGCCTTATATTTTCCTGTCCATTTCTACAGGTATCACGTCCTCATGGAGGCCCGCCGTCACCATCATCTTGGTTTCTTTTTGTCCGGCCGTTTTTGACGGGGATAAGTGTATAAACTATTATCGTGCGATCGTACATAAAAAAGAAGGGTCCAAAACATATCTTGTGGCGGAGGAGATAACTACCATGGGACGTGTCTACTTCGTCATTGTGATTTTGATGGCACAAGAGCACTAGCCCGAGAACTTGTACATGGTAATTTTTTAACATGCTCCCGTCCTTTCGGCAATCAAGCCGTCGTCTCCCCTCGTGCAGTTGTGCTTGCGCAAAAGCTCACCATCGTTGCATGATCAACAGTTAAGTTATGGTCTATCAACCAAGCGTAAGCATCAAATATTCACGGTGATCGTAAACCACCGTACTGCAACACCGTAGCCGAACCACCTCCACCCTCGACGGCATTCCTCAGAAGCGTTCCACGAGTACTTGCGGAAGAGTGAGAGGGGGGGGGTATGATGAATGAAACAAAAAAAAAGGGGGGGAAGGAGAGACAAGGCTGCTCCGACTCGAGCCGGCGAGTGATTAGTTATGACAAGAAGGGGCGGCAACATACCATAGCATGACAATAATATTATTATTATAATATTATCAGACACGTACCAGAGCCGCCAGGGCGATCGCACAGTGCACGGCAAACCCACCCACCATTCCAAAGCGTCCTTAAGTCCCCTCCCCGACGCACAGAACCCATACGACGGAAAAAGCTTTCGGAGTATGACGGTAGTAGACTTGGGAAATGCCTGTCCGCCTGTCCGTCTGTCCGTCTTATCCCCGGCCATGCCAGACCAGACCAGACCAGCCGACACTAGGAGCTCATCGGAATCGACAGGTTTTAAACGACCTATCGTGGAATCCCACCATACGCGCGGCGCTGTGCACTGTACCGTACAGTTCACTAGGAGACACCACTCTACATAACCTCTCGGTGAGAGAAAGTAAAAAAAAAGTCTTTCCATGATCTATGGGTGATTGAGAAAGGTTTGGGATTTTGAGCTGCTCGTTCTCGCTTTTTCCGTGTCGTGTTGATTGATTGATTGATTAGTCAATTGGGATGGCGGGGGGGGGGGGGAAGGTTCAGGAATGTCGTTTACTGGTAACAATATGATACATACAGCACTCGAGTGCATACGGTAAGCTGAACCGGGGTAATTTGTACGATAGTCTAGAGCTGCGGGGCTGTGTTTTGGAATGTACTCGAGTACAGTACAGTAACAGTGCAGTGCCCGACTGCTTACTCACTTACTCACTGGTACGAGTACGATTACTAGATAATCGGGCGGGAATGCTGTTATATCCCTTCGCTTTACTTTTTATTTACTTGTGCACTTACACCGCTCGCCCAGAAAACATCATACGTTTTTGGATTGTGGAAGCGGGGGGTGATGGTCCACTAACCTGCTGGCTGGTGGGAATATCTGTATGGTATCGTGCTGTAGATTGGATTGGATTGTATGATACCGTAACTCGTGGAGATGTGTATATATGGCAACGCGACTGCAGACTTTGTGGTGGGGTACTGGTAGACCAAGTCTACTCGGGAACATGATGCTCTGATCACGAACTGATATAGTGCCGTGCGGTCTAACTGACTTGTTAAATACATACCTTACCTATACGGTGATGATGGTATGGGGTATCATAACGTTTGTATTTTCGCCGGTGTGATATCATATCATGGAGATGCGCGGGTGCGGTATGGTATGATGCCTGCCATCCAAAACCTGCACCAGACTAAAAAATTGTGTTACATGTGGCTGTGCTAATTTAAATACAAAACCCTATAGGTTAAGAAGTTTGTTGTAAAGAGTTTAGGTTATATGATATTTGTAATGCAAGAACAATGAGATTATAATTAAGGTAACAATATGATAGTAAGGTATATCATACCTGTTTGCAAATTTATATGATAATATAATATTATAATACTGATACAATAACATTAAATTTGAACAAATTACATCTCTAGCTCCCTTCCAATTCCATTGGTAATTCGCCGATGGCTCTTATATTTATGGTTTACTGCTGCTTGAAAAGCAGGTGTTCCATATAGGATACCTTGACGATAAGCATCTATAATCCGTTCAACTTTTTGATGAAACTTCCAAATCAGTTCATCTGAAACAGAGTTTAACGCAAGAGGAATTAGCCGCCGTAGGCTTTGGATATTGAATCCACAATTATTGCGAGTATATCGCTTTGCTGCACCCCAGACGTATTCAATAAAGTTCAGTTTACAATGGAACTTAGGATAAAAGAGAACCTTATGGTTCAAGCCTTCAATTTCTTCCTGAAGTTGACACTTTTGACTTTGGAAGTCTGGCTGATTAGCCATTATCGCTCGTGCACAACATTCACCACATTGGAGACAAGTTTTAAGTAACTTATCAGTTCCTGGTTTTCGGCATTGAAGGCGAAGGCCTCTTCGCCATAATCCTCTCTCCTCTAGGATCCACTTAAGCCCTTTAGGCTTGCCATCACCATCCACCATAGATTGAGTTTGTCCAGTTAAAGGATTTACTCCAGGGCCCAACTTGGCCTGTGCACCTCCAGGGCGCAAACTCATTTGCTTTGCTCGTAAAGCATCAGGTGCAAAGGCAGAATGACTGGTCGCCTTGTCGAATAGAAATAGAGCTTGGCATTGGGGAAATGCTGCCTCGAAGATTGGTATTGCGACTTTAATAACCCGCCGCACTAAATCATCTGCACCCCACCATGTCTCTCCTCCATACTCAATACGCATGGTAGCAGTAAAGGGACTGTATCGAAGATTTTCTTCTGCAGAGAGACTGAGGGTTGGTAGAGCATCAATGGGCACTGATTCAGAAGCTTTCAAGTGACCTCCAGGTGTAACAAAGTGAGAAATCATGATTCCCTTTCCACGACTCTTTTTCCGGATTGGAGGTTCACCATCCTTCATCCAAACATACCCCCTAGCATCATAGGAGTCAAATGTAGATTCATCATGTGTGACTAAGACAATTGGCTTTCTTCCAGGTGGCAGGTTCTCTGGAAAAACCATCTTTAGCTTTCCATCTGGTTCCAGCTTCCATTGTACCATATATGGCTTCAACTCATCCAAAGCTGGTATAAACTGCTCCTGACGATATGCAATAACATCACACCGCTCATGGCCATCCTTATAGATGCCTTTTTTACACTCCTTATATTTATACCCCATCTGATTTAGCCATCGAGATGCAGTACCGCTGGTTAAAACCTTTCGGACAGAATTCTGTGTCGGTTGAGGACCTGTACTGGGATCTAACAACTGATCATTACTGCTTGGATGCTCATTATGATGTTCTGCAAGATCAACAGATGATAGAATATTTCCCGACGTCCAATATTCAGTTATGGCTTTTGCCAAGCGCAATGCTGTAACTCCATCACTGGTGGAAGCAATAAATTCGCAAATCGCTAGCTGTGTTTCCTCCTCATGCAGTTGGGACAATATGGTGGCCCTCTTATATGCCTTTTGTCTAATTGCACGATTTTGAACCCACTTCTTCTCATCTTGAATAATACGTAAGGCAACATGATGACCTTGTACATTTGTGGTAGCAATAAGGTATGCACTCTGCATTCGTGGCATTCGCCAACTTGGCTTCATTAAGCTCATCTTTTGGAATTTCATGAAAC